GCAGCAGCAGCAGCAGCAGCAGCAGCGGGGGGCGGTGCGTGTGTGTGCAGCAGCAGGGGGGCCCCTGGAGGGGCTGGAGGCGTCGGCGCTGGGGGCCCCGCAGCTGCTGAGTGACCAGCAGCTGCGGTGCTGCCGGCGGCAGCTGGACATGGCGCTGCGGGTGTTGGAGTTGTTCAAAAATGGAGTTTTAATAATTGATGAAATTGATGAAGTGCTGCAGCCTTTGAAGAGCGAGCTGCACTGGCCGCTGGGCCCGAGGCAGCCGCTGGACTTCACGGCCAAGCAGGGCTTTGCTGCTGCTGCGGGGCAGCAGCAGCAGCGGCCCGGGGCCCCGCTGCAGCTCGGCCAGCAGCAGTCCGCTGCTGCTGCTGCGGCGGCTGCTGCTGCTGCTGCTGCTGCCGACGGCGTCACCGAACCCCTCATTTCCCCCAGACAAACTGAACAGCCGCTGCAGTGGCTCTTCGAAGATGACGAGGGCATGCGCTGGCAGCTTCCCTGGTTCCTCCTCGACGCAATTTTCTACTTCTACAGGTACGCTGCAGCGTGCTGCTGCTGCTGCTGCTGCTGCGAGCCAAGGCGCGCCGTTGCAGCAGCGAGGCCCCGCAGAAGCAACAGCAAGGGAGCAGGATGTGCTGTGTCTTTGTGGCTGCAGCGGGAAAACAACTGTCTCCTGCACCGGCACTGCGGAGACTTGGCGGCTGCTGGGGCTGATTCGGCGGCAGCTGCAGCAGGGAGTGCAGCAAAAGGCGCTGCAGCAAAGTCCCCATTTGCTGCTGCTGTCCCCCGCCTGGTACCACGACAACCTCAAACCGCTGCTGGCTCCCTGGCTGGGCCTTTTCTTTCGCCTCAAGAAGCTCACGGGCCTTTCCCAGGAGCAGCAGCAGCAGTACATTGTGAGCATGCAGCAGCAGCTGCAGCGCAGCAGCAGCTGCAGCACAAGAAAGAAGCAGCACAAGAGCTGCCTAGGGGCCCTTAGGAGACAGACACAGCAGATAGAAGCATGAAAATATATGCAGAAAATAAAAAGCACTAAAACACTGGGACTTGCTGCATGGCGGCGGCCCCGACCGAAGCGGCAGCAGCAGCAGCAGCAGCAGATGCTGCTGCTGCTGGCGCTGCAGTGCTGCTGGCACTGCTGTGTGCTTGCTGCTGCAGTTGCTGCTGGAGCCGCTGCTGCTGGCGCTGCTGTGTGCTTGCTGCTGCAGCTGCTGCATGCTACTTGCTGTGTGCTGCTGCTTGCTGCAGCTGCTGCCGCTGCACATTTGCCCCTCAAACCCCGCTGCGGGCTCGCTGGAAACTGGTGGGGGCCTTTATTCTGGGCTTTTTGATGCAGTAGAAAGGCTGCCAGAGTTTCACTTAAAGACTTTGAACTTGGCCCGGGAGTGGCTGTGTTCTTTGCTGCCGCATGCGCTGCAGAAGGCCAACAGAGTGCAGTGAGAAAGCTGCGTTTGCTGCTGCCAGCTGCTGCTGCTGCTGCTGCTGCTGCTGCTGCGCCTTCGCGGCCTTCCTGCCTCCCTTTCCACTCCCTTTTTCCGTCTCCTTTTCTGCTGCTGTTGCTCCTCCTTGCTGCTGCCATCCTCTCTTCTTGCTGCCTCGCTGCAGGCACTCCGCACCTAGCAGCTTGCTGCTGCTGGTGCTGCTGCTGAAAATGGCCCAGAGAAAGCCCCAGAGAGGCTGGGCCGGGGCTGCTTTGGCCTTTGCAGCAGTCCCTCTGCTTGCAAGTTTGTCATTGCGTCTTTTCTATTTCTTTCTCTCTTTTTCTTTCTCTCTTTTTCTTTCTCTTTTTCTTTATTTACTTTCGTTTCTTTTTTCTTTCTTTACTTCTATTTCTTTTCCTTTTATTTCTTTTTACTCCTTCTGCGCCTTTGTTTAATTAGATATAATAGACACTGTGCTTGTGTGTAAAGCCACGCTGATGCCCCCAAATAAGTGCATTTGATTGCAGAGTTATATATTGAATTGTTTCTTTAAAATAGGTGTATAATATTTGTATACATATATGTGCACATCTTCAGTGGCACACACACATATATGTATGTATATAGAGATGATACAGTTTCATATATGTACAGGGATATTATCTATATAAATAGAGAAGCACTTATATGTATAATACATATATATATATAAGCATATACATACTATGCAGAAGCACTCATATGTTTATGAATTTTTTCTTTTTTTTTATATGCATAAATATAAAGAGAAGCACTTAAGTATATTTATGCCTACGGCAGCACTGACATGCAAATATAAAGAAGCTCTTGTACACACCGAAAATCCCTCAAGACAAAAACAGGAAAAGACTTCCGAGTGCATTTGTGCAAAGCATCCAAAACATTTGCCACTCCCAAAGTTGGCTCCTGCACTTCAAAGACTTCAGCCGCAGCACTAAATGCTTTGCGTCTCTGGCCCGTATTTTCGAGCCCCTGGCGCGCACTGCTACTGCTGCTGCTGCTGCTGCTGCTGCTTCTGCTGCTGGGTGCGGTGCAGCTACGGGCTGCTGACTTCTGAGGAGGTGGAGGAGGGTCTGCTGTTGGGGGCTTTGTCTCGGAGTCGGCAGCTGCTGGCAGTCCCGTTTCTTGGCAAAGACGCTCCCTCTCCAGCTTCGGAGTTCTCCCACCCCGATGTCTTAATAGGCCTCACAATTCTGGCCTACAGGTACCAGGGGCTGCGCCGCGAGGACTTGGGGGCCCTCCTCGCGGACCAGCTGGCCCGCCAGGAGGCCTCGGGGGGTCCCCCCGCCTCGAGGGCCCCCGCGCGCGAATTCGCGGATTGGGTCTGGGCTGCAGGCGGCAGAGTCCGCGGGCTTCACCGCGTGCGGCCTCGGGCCCACGAGTGGCAGCAAGACCTAGCTGCCTTGGCCAGCGACGCCCGCCACCAGCTGCTGCAGCAGCAGCAGCAGCAGCAGCAGCAGCA